CCAGCAACCTGGGATAAAGCGGAACTTTAGAACTCTGTAACACATTTTGTGTGTTTGTTGACCCTCTTTCCCCAGCTCCTCATCTCCAATTTGTCTTGTACAAATCCTGAATGAGGTTTAAACTTGCATTCTGGTGTATTTGCTTATTTTTACCTTGCCTATCCCCCTTTGGGGCTGGAGTGGGTTAATGGTAATGGAATTAGCAGTACTCCGTAGGGTTTTTCCTCTCTTCTTCCAACTAAATGCCATTCTGTATATCTTCTAACTGTGCCAGCCTATGTATTCTACAGTGACCCCCAAAGTATGTTTGTTCTTCCCCTCAGCCCCTGACTGCTGCAACCAATCAATTACTCAATCAGGTATTTATTAAGCTCCTACTCCAAATGATGAAGGCCAGATAATCATTGAAAGGGTATTGCCTTGGTCAAACAGAGACCCGTTAGTTAAAGACCTTGGCTTAAAAAGGCCAAGGTCTTCCCTTTGCAGCCAGAGCCATCTCCAGTCATCCCGATCTATACGTGGCCTCCGGATTCAGATGGCTCCGGAGTAGAAAGCAAGGGTGGTGACTTGGCACAGCCCTCCCTCACTTATAGCCAATTCACTTGCAAGTCATGGCATCACCTTCCTGATGCCGCGGGCCTTTTCCAGAACAAATAACAACAACAATGCTGGGCACTAGGGATACAAGTACAAAGAATGAAACTACTAACAAAGCTCGTACCCCGCAGCTCCACATAGATCTACTGTAACTTTGTGTATTCTTTCAATGTACACATGCATACATATATATGCATGTATACAGACATCCATATTTCTCCATTTCCAAGGCTTATTTTAGGATATGGCATACATTAGGCTATTGGGACCAATATGCTGTGAAAGTCTTTGGCCAACTTCACGCCCCAGCTCTGGGAACAAATGAAATGAAAAAGCATTTATTCCCTCCTTACTTTATGCCAGGCATTACACTTCTGTTGATGTTCAGGTGTGTCTGACTCTCTGTGACCCCTTTTGTGGTTTTCTTGGCAAAGATACCATAGTGGTTTGCCATTTCCTTCTCCAGCTCATTTGACAGATGAGAAAATGGAGGCAAACAGGATTAAGTGACTTGTCCAGGGTCACACAGCTAATAAGTGTCTGAGGCCGGATTTGAACTCAGGAAGATGAGTCTTCCCGACTCCAGGACTGATACTCTACCCACTGTGCCACCTAGTTGCCCCAAGCACTGTACTAAGCATTGGTAATACAAATATGAAAACAAAAATAGTGCCCTCAAGGAAATTACATCATAATGAAGGAGGTAACACATATTGGGGAGTGGTGGTCACCCAGGGGCACTTTGGTTGGGAAAGTTACAGGGATGGTTGAGCGGGGCTACAAGAGAGTGGATTACTTTGTACCATCCAGGAACAATGGCAAAACTTATTTAATCACGGCTCACAGTTCCACATTGGACAGGGGAAGGAGAAACATGGGAAGTAATAGCAGCTGTTGGTGGTGAGAAGGGAGGAAAGGGAAGCATAGCTAAATTTTTCCCTAAACAGTGAGTGTTCTCAGAGGGACAATTACCATTCAGGAGGGGAGGGACAATAATCAAATCAACGCTACCAGTCCAGACTAAAACCCACTTCCCTAGCCACCCTTTTCCCATATTACTGAATCCCCTACTAGAATATGAACTCCTTCAGAGCTTGGTATTTTGTTTCATCCCTCGTGTTCACCAGTGTTTGGCACAGAGTAGACAACTTAATAGAGCCACTGGGTGGAGCTGTGCACAGAGCGCCAGGGCTGAAGTAAGGAAGACTCACTTTTTGAGTTCAAATCTGGCCTCAGACACTTACTAGCTGTGTGACCCTGGACAAGTCACTTAACCCTGTTTGCCTCAGTTTCCTCACATATAAAATGAGCTGGCGAAGGCAATGGCAAACCACTCCAGTATCTTTGCCAAGAAAACCCCAAATGGGGTCACAAAGAGGTGGACACAACTTAAAAATGACTGAACAACAAAACAATAAAGGCTTCCTTCATTCACACTTCTGATTTCTGAGTCTCCTTATTGAGAGTACCCCCTGCTTTCTCTGAATTTGAGTCTTGTGGGTTATCTTTAGATGGGTGAGGCTCTTGCTTTGCAGTACAGTGCGCTGTGGGGGAAAGAACACTGAACTGATACTTAGGAAGAACTGGGTTCAAATCCTACCTCATGCTAACTGTATGAGCCTACGTAAATTAGAATTTCTCTGCCTCTGTTTCCTTATCTGTAAAATGAGGGGATTGGACTTGATGACTTCTTAGATCCTTTCTAGGATCTGAGGACCTCTAGGACTTTTCCATTTTCTTGAAGACTGCAGGAGTCTCTTTGAAGTGAAGGAAGCCATCTGGTAGTGTTAGCTATTGCTGCCAGAGTTATTTTCCTTAAGTGTAGCTCTGACCATATCACTCTCCTACTCAGTAAACCCAGTGGCTTTCTATTTGCCTCTCAAATCAAATAAAAACTCCTTTGTTTTCGATTTTAAAGCCCCAACCTATCTTTTCTGCCTCATGGTATATTACTTACCCTCCTGAACTCTGCAATCTGGACAATGGGCCTTCTCTCTGTTCCTCATAAGTCATGCCATCTCCTACTTCCATAGCTCAACAATGTCTATTCTCTGTTCCTGGAATACGCTCTCTTCACCTCTGCCTCTTAAATCTCCCTCCTCTTCCTTCAAGATGTAGCTTCCAGGGGCAGCTAGGTGGTGCAGTGGATTGAGCACTGGCCCTAGATTCAGGAGGACCTGAGTTCAAATCTGACCTCAGACACATAACACTAGCTGTGTGACCCTGGGCAAGTCACTTAACCCCATTGCCTAGCAAAACCAATAACAACAACAACAACAAAAGATGTAGCTTCCACATGAAGCCTCTCCTAATCTTCAGCCTCCATTTCAAACTACCTTGGATTTAACTACATTGTGTTTATTTGCTTTTATTCCATATATACACATATATTTCCTCATGGTCCCCTCTGTTAGAATATAAGCAGCATGGGAGTAGGGATTATTTCATTCATTGTATTTGTAGCCTCTGGGACTTGCCCAGATGGAGCTTAATCAATATTTGATTATTTGGAAACCTCATAACCAGTCTCTATGTTCTGAGTAAAGTCTCTTTTCTAGTTTGTGCTGCTGCTACGAACACATGCTTAAGTAATACTTAAGGTACTATAGCTCAGTCTCTAACACCAAGGAAAAACTAGGTTACTGCATTTGTTATGAGTTTTAGTAATTTATTGAAACATAAAAGCAAAATTACAGTTTAACCCACATCACTTCACAGACTTGAACAGGTAGATGCTAATCTCTAACGAAGGGATCAGGGGGAAAATGGCTAGGAGATGGAGGAATAGCAGAAGAATATAAAGAGGCAAGTTCACAGATTTAGAGGCCAAAGAGACCCTACAGGTCATGTAATTCAGAGATGTGAAACACACATCCTATAGGCTCAACACTCCAGGACCGGGTTAAAATATAACTGGGTAATACTTAACAAAATAAAAAAATATAATAGAACACAGATAATATTAACGTGTGGTTTTCTAAGTCAATGTGCAGCCTGCTAGGATCCTTACGTATGGTTTAATGGCCCCTGTTTCTGCCTTGAGTTTGACACCACTGATCTAATCTAATTCTTTCATTTTGCAATGAGGAATTGGCTCTAGCCCACAGGCTGGGCTTTCAAATGAAGGTTAGCCCCAGATGTAATAGGTCCTTTAGCCAGCAATCTGGCATGCTTCCAGTATGTCTAATCTTGCCCCTCCAAAACAAGCTCTGGGAATAATAATATCAATACTGGAAAGGAGTGTCAATGAAACAAGTGACTCTCCAAGATAAACCTCTATACAAGGCAACTCACTTTTGGAGAGCAACCCAACTACCCAGGATACAAATTCAGAGAAGTCCCCAGTCCTCAACTCAGGACAATTCAGAGAAACAATGTCCTAGGCAGGGCACATAGAGCCTCTTGACCACCCCCACCCCACCTCAACCAAAGTCACAATTGGTGAGTGGCTCACGTGGTCCACTATGTCTACCAGATTTAGACATGATTCACTTTACATCTCAGCCACCTTCTTGCCATTCCCCTTCTCCTGCCCATTTCCAGCTGTGAAACCACAATCAAATCAATACTGTCATTAGGCGACTGGAAAGGACATATCAATCTCCCATCTCAAGGCTTCACCCAGCCCTATGACTTTCCAAACCAATCACATGGATATTACTTCCCAGCATGTGCCTTTAGCAATTAGAATATAAGCAGCAAGGCTTGTCTTATTTTTGTATTAGTCTCCATGGCACTTTGTACAGCTAGCATAGAGGAAGCACTTAAACACTGTCATTTATTCTTCTGTGGAATCTTGTACAAAGTATGGCATCAATAAATATATTTGAACAAAACAAAAGTCTTAAGTCAGGATACTTTATAAAAGGATAGAATGAGACTGGATAGACCTCAAATGTAGTATAAAATGTAGGTTAAACACAAGGCTATTACTAGGCAAAATTATGAAGCAGACTTTACTGTTCAATTCTGCCTTTTAAATAATACATTGTCATATTACTAATTCCCATTGGTAGCTCCTGCCTTGAAATTTCCTTGTGCTTTTCTGTGCTCCCTCCTCTTTCCCTTCACCCCCAACTAAAATCTGTTTTCAAACTCATTATTTAGTAAGGTGTAAAGGACTGATACCAGTTTTAGGTGTTATTACTCCCAAGAATTTTCACTTTTGAAAAGTGATTTTCAAAGCTCTGAAAGTGAATTGTCAATTTTTTTTTGGAACCCTTTAAAAACATCCTGACTACCCACAAGCCAGGAAAAGGAAAGAAATCCATGTCATAAAGGATAATGTAGTATCTCCCTTGCTGGAGATAAGCTAGACATTTCACACTTCAAAAATTTAGCTAAGAGGTTGACTCTTGAAGACCTTTTTGATGTCCGATTTCATATTTCAGATAAAAATCCAAAAGAGTATAAGTCACTTTTATTTCCTTTTTAAATATACACATACAATATTTATGTCAAAAAGCACAAGAACATTATACAAGTCTTAAATTTACATTTTTGCAATAAAAGATATCAATATATGCATCATTTTGAATAACTTCTGAAGTTCTGTTCATCTGGATGGAATCTGAATCAGTGGCATGAACATGTTACAATCACCATAGAGTATTCTCACAGTGAACCAAAATGCATAGTAGGTTATGAAATGATAAATGACCATTAATGGATGACCTTGTAGCTCATATATTAGAATAATAAATTAACTATACAGAAACATGTTTTTCCTACTGCAAAGACCTCCTGCCCCATATTTCCCCAGTCATAAGAAAAACGTGCTTTAGGAGCATCCTCATGAACAGGTTCCTGGTTCAATAGGAAAAAAAGTGACTTTATGTGTTCATGACTTCTGAATGCAGCATTTCTATGTTTGCACTACTCAAGTGCAAACTGCTATAAGATTTCTAACATACATAAAAACTTCTCATTTGATAGCAACACTGAACACTGAGCTCGCACGCAAGTGCCAACACTTAAGTCGTGAGTAGGCCTCTATGTGCTCATCTCTTAGGATGGCTTCTTTGGCAGTCAAGATTTTACTAGCCACTGCCAGGAAGTTCCTCTGGCAGCCTGATGGCTTAACATCAGGATTGGTGAACTGAATGGAAAAGACTATTAAAGCAGGAAGAAATTCTCCTTCTGAGGAATCTGCTTTTGCTTTATAATGTTATTTATATAGGGCATAAATCAGGGCAGAGGTCAACAGCTGGCTGTTCTTGCCTGACACCTAGTCAGCTCTCCCAGCTAAATATTTAGTGCAATCTGCTGAACTGTAAATGAGACCAAGGAGGAAGAAATCTGTGTCTTTTCACCATATCAGTGAATTTATGCAACTGAGCACTGAACATTTCAAACCTCATCCAACTTGCCATAATTCGACAAGTTTTCTACTGCTGAGTTATCTTCTGAATATCTTTTGAGTGCTTAGAACCAAAGCTGTAGAATTATTCAAGTATCATAGTCATGATTATTTGGATACCTCTGACAGGTTCTTCTTCCCTTTCCCTCAACAAAAGAAAAACAAAACACAAAGCCAAATACAAATGTGTATCCTCAAACACCTGGTATACGTATTTTTAACTTCCCTATTTTTATAAGAAGTAAAAGGGTAAGAAACCATTATACATAAATGGAAGACAGTCCTCATCAAGGTCAAAATACATTCTCTGAATAGATCTTTCAGACTCCTAAGGCATAGGAGACATGGAAGCTAACATAGGGCTTCCATTTATCCTTTTCTTAAAGCTTTACATAACAAATTCCCTCGATACAAAAGTTATGGCTAAGAACCCAGAAAGCTACAGGCAGATTCTGAAGGGCATTATTATTTAAAAGCAAGGAGGTTCAATTACTGCTTGTTACAGTAAGACAGAGAAACAGACCATCGATCACATGGCTTTTTTTGGTCGTCTGTATCTGTCACACAACTGGAGTTCATGAAAGGCTGCACACATAATAATGAATCGAAGATTTAAAGTCTTCTGGGAAGACATAAACTGTTACAGAATGCTCAATGGGGAATTGTTTATTATGGTCCTATGGCTACTTAACACCAGGATCAGAGCAGATTTCTGTCAGTTACATCATGGCACCAGGACAAAGGATGTGATCTTTTGTTAGAATCTAGGCCCTGGAAAATGGAAAGTGCAGTTTTAAAAAGGACTGGGTCCATCATATCAATTACAAGACTTACTGTAACATCAAGGTGACTACACAATTCTAACCCTCAGGGTTCTACAAGAAAAAAAAAGCTCTAAGAAAAATCTGCATTAGAGAAGGCAACTCTGACTAAGCAGGGAGTCAGTTTAATTTCTGGTAGCAGCAGCAAGTGGCATATCTAGGGCATTTTCCCAGAAGAGAAATGACAGCTTTTACTCTTTGGAATTTTTCCTCTGTTCTAATAAAATTCTTGTCCTCTATTGTTCTTTTTCTGATTGGATATATGGTTATGATGTTCAGTTGTAATCCTGTCACTGCTGCTTTTCTTCTGCCATTTTAACACAAATATTGGTCCAGTTAATTAAAGTCAAGCAAGGACAAAAGACCAGAAACAGTCATCATGAGAATTAGCAGTTCTAGTTTGATGGCTGGTGTCACAAAGACTTTAAAAAAAAATCGAATAGCTTCTTGGATGGTGTTTTTGTCCCAAAATACCACCAGTCAGTAAGAACTATGAAATCCGGCAACACTGCCCCCCCCCCCCATTTCTGGCATGATTATTGAAGAAGGGAAGCCTCTAAAGAGGAAAATGATTTCCTTAAACTATTAGCAGAATCTTAAACAACTGTGGGGGCAGAGGAGGATTTTCTTCAGTGTTTTACAATATATGCTTTATCGTGAGGCATCAAGCTTGCTGACTGAAAGCAAAAATCCATTAAGGGATACTTTATTGAAAGACATGAATCAGGAACTGAGGAATGACCCTATTGCCCACCCTCCCCCCAAGTCCTCCTAAATGTGTCCGTAATTCCAGACCTGTCTTCATTACTGCCTTCATCTGTGACTCTTCAGTGGAACTGGGACTCAAAGTAACTGCCAGTTGAATCCAAATAAGATCTGATTAGTTTCTTGACTCCTTGCAATTTCTTCTATGATGCGATGTTGCTGCCAGAGCAAATGGAGTTTCTGATAACGCTCATGAGATAAATGCAGGGGGTTGCCCCTCCTTCATAGGAGAAGAAATGAACATGTGTTAGCTTGAGTCAAACAACCTCCAATACCTTCTGGCAGCCTACATAGTCTGAGATCTTGAGATGTCTCTGGACCCAGTGCTTAGGCAGATAGTGGACACTTAACAAATGCTTGCTGACTAAACCTAGATTTGTTTTACTGAAATAGTCATCATCAGGACGAGACTTGGGGGCGGGGGGGGGGGGAAAGATAGAGCAAACATTTACCCACAGTTGGCAAGTGAAAGAGAGACTCACTCTAATTAAATTCTAACAATCCAAAACACAAATCAATGAGTGATGGGGCCTCGACCTCAGGCTGACATTGTGAACTGCAAGTTCTCCTTCTCAGCAGAGGAAAGCTCACTGTCCTACCCTGCCCTGCCCTGCCCTTACCCCTCCATGCTGGTTAGACCAAGTGGGGTACTAACCGCTTTCACAGTGTCAACATACTGCCTACCATCACCCCTCCTCCCCAAAAGAAAGAGTCAGAACTCTATTCTTTCTCTCTGAGGCACTACAAGCCAATGTAATTGGGAAGACCTTGGGAACAGAAAGACAAGGGGAGGAAGTTATGGGGTGGACTGGGGGCACTGGCTCCCAGCAAGAACTTAATTCCTCCCTTTCCTCTCAAAAAACATCACACTGAGGTGTTATTCTGTTTAATCTTGGTTGTCATGCCAAGCTTTGCTGGCAAGAAAAATACATGAATTATAGGACAATTATTTATATGAGTCATCTTGTGATTTGGGGAGCAAATTGTTACAGAGCAGGTGACACAAAAGGGCTCTGGCTTGGATCCAGCCAGTGATGAAGAACAGTGAGATCCTTTCAGGAATAACGGAGATCACATACACTCAACCATTAAAGACTCTCCCCCTAACCTGATAACATCCTATTTTTTTGGTCTTCTTACCTCCATGCCCAGATTCTATTAATCTACAGGACAAATACCATTGCGATTTTAAAAGACTTTAAAAACTACATAACTTAAGCAGTTTTAATTTTCCACTAGAACTACTCTTTTTGAGGCATATTAAGGACAACAAAATTCTAGTATAACAATAACAACAACAAAAATCAGACTGTGTCCTAGAGCCCCTCGTAACAGTGTTTAATTGCGATCTGTCTTTTGGTCACTGTTTAAAAAATATTACATGAAACAGAAGGTGGCTTCATGTTTAGTAGGAACAAATCAGTAGCACTAATGGGACAGATCTTCAAACTTATAGTTTTTCTTTCCGTTCAGAGTTATGGTGGTCATCGCAATCTGGATGTGTGCATGTGGCTAAAAAGATTACCATGGAAAAGCAGTAAATTGCAGTTCCCCAAGACTGCATGACATCAAGTGTCCTTACTTTAGCCCAGGGTCTGTTTCTCCATATTCATCCAGGTAGGGGGCTGGAAACAAGCAGCCTCTGGCTCTCCCTTCAATCAGGACCACTTTGCACTCCCTGATCCTGAAAGAACAAAATGTCACTCACATAATAACAGTGCTAGGTTAGGCACTGTGCCACAAGAAATTCCAAGAAAACAACATGATGTTTATCTATTACAACCACAAGCACAGATATCCAAATATTGGTGGGCAAAGAAGAACTGCTGCTTTTATTAAGATTATGTGTTTAGAAGCTGGGATTACAGAAAAGTCAGTCAGTCAACCAGTTGCTAATATTTATTAGGTGCTTTTTATTTATTTTAATATTTATTAGGCATTTATTAGGTACCCTACTGTGTTCCAAGTGATGGAGATAGTCTCTGCCTTTGAGGGGCTCATGATCTAACAGGGGACATGCCAATAACTATGTACAAAACAAGTTCACGTAAGGAAAAATTAGAAATGGCTTCAAAGGGAAGGTCTTAGAATTAAGAGGGGTCAGGAAAGGCTTCCTGTAGTAGGTGGGATTTTAGCTGGGACTTGAAGGAAGCTAGGGAAACCAGCAGGTAGAGATGAGGCATTCTAGGCATTAAGGGCAAGCCAGAGAAAATGCCCAGAGCTGAGAGATGGAATGTCTTGTTTAAGTAACAGCAAGGAGGCCTGTGTCACCGGATCAAAGAGCAAAGATCTGGTAGGACTATGGCAAAGAGGTTCAGAAGCAGAGGAAGAACGACTGATGGGAGTCCTATCTGAGCCTCCTTGAAAGAATGGCTGGAGCTTCTAGTTAGTATCTTATCAGATATATCAGAAAGAGGGAAAGGGCTGAGCAAAAGATTTGAACTACATAGGTTCAAAAAATTTTAGTGCTGGAAATGCCTCTAAGAGGTCCTCTACAAATCTTAATAGTTTTATGATCTCTAAGCAGACTAGGGTTCAAGTTGAGGAGTGTTTTCTCTTTCTAACTACCCTCTAACAAACGGTCAGAACATAGGCAAGCCAAATACAGAGCTCCCCCGCCCCCGCCCAAAGCTAAGAATGGTTTTTACTTTTTAAAATAAAGTGTTATTGTATTTAAAAATGTAAAAACCATTCTTAGCTCATGGACCGTACAAAAACAGCTGGCCAGATTTGACCTTCAGACCATAGTTTGTGAGCCCTAATTTAACACGAGAATTCTATAAATTTTATTCCTTCACTATACCTGCAAGCAGTATTTATCATTAGTGTGTATAACACTCTTCCCTATACTTACATCCCAGTAGTGCTCAAAAAGCATTCATTCTTAACAGCACGTGAGAGAGGGAGAATGTGTACATGAGCTTGTGGAGGAGGAAGAAATTGCTAGAGATGAACCAGAGAACTTGAGTAGGAAGAAAGAGAATTCTTGGGGAAAAAAACACACATAGTGCTTCAGATGTTTGTACATGGGCTACCTCATCTGGTCCCTACAACAACCTCTGAGGTTAAAGCTAAAGAGCTGAAGGACAAACTGGTTGATTCAGCAGCTGCAGATGCCCTTGGTAAGCCAAATCCTATGCAGGGAATTTAGTCCTCGGGCTTTAGTACTCCATCAGCCTTAAGCTTCCAGGTCCTCATTCTTTCCCCCACTCCCTACTCTCCTCCCAGCTGAAACCTGAGAGCCCTCATTGCTAGTGTCTTCCCTTTGAGGTTACTTTCCACCAACTGTCTTTTCTTCAGTGAGGCAATAGGGGTGAAATGACTTGCCCAGAATCACAAACCTAGTAAATGTCATGCGTCTGAGACTGAATTTGAACTCGGGTCTTCCTGACTCCCGGGCTGGTGCTCTATCCACTGCGCCACCTAGGTGCCCCTCCCCCAACTACTCTCAATAAATTTTCTATGTATATGCGAGTTCCTTGAGGATAACGACAGTAGTTTTGCCCTTCTCTGTATCCCCAGCACTCAGCACTGTGCCTGGTCTGCAGTAAGCACTTAATAAGTGCTGGACTGACTAACTGAATTAAAAAACTAATAGCTAGTTATTCTATTCAGTTCCTTCTCCAGTGCCTCACTGTGTTGGAAAGACGAATTAAAGACTATCTATGCTAGTCTGAAGGTGAGTTTTGAAAACTATGTCAGCCAAGTGCAAGTCCTGGTAAAACTGGAGGGTCTTTGAGCACGAACCTGGTGGTGAAATACTGCTGTTGTCTGAGGAACTATAACTAAGTTTGGGGAGGTTCATTACTCGAGGATTGGCTACCAGGTAATGATTGGGGGAAGGGGTCAACAGATACTCATTAAAACACCTTTTAAGATGTGGAGGTGGGTTTGGTTTTTTTATTTTGCATTGGATTGGTTTCATCCCTGGACGGAATAATGATTTTTGAAGTACTTAAGTAATAGCTAAATAATAATAAATTTCTTTCTCCATATATTTAAAGGTGTTTACCCTTCTTTCTAAGTTTGAATCTAACATACTCCATGGGCTTATATAGAAAAATTCTGGCATAGACAAAGTACATTTACATGGGGAGAATTGGGAAATGGAAGAGAAACATGGAATATAAGAGCTAGAAGAGACCTTTAAAAGTTGTCTAGTCCAGTAATCTAATAATTTATCTCTTTTATAAATGAAGAAACTAAGGCCCAAAACAGGTAAGTGCCCAAGAAAAGACTCCTTCAAATACACTAGATTTTTCCTCTCCTGCCCTGGCAACCTTTTTCTCACACCCCTCCCTCAAACCCCTTCACTTCAGAGTAGTCTTCCTTCCTCTTTTCCAAAAAGCTGGGCTGTAGTTGCCCTATGGCCTATCTGTCCTCTGTTTGTTAAGCTTATATCTCAGCTTCTTTATCTAGGCTTTTCACTGGCTCTAGATACTCGGGTCTTTTGTTGAGAAGAGTAAATAATGGTGGTGGTTAGAAGGGAAAGAGATTAAAGTGAGAACCTGGAACTTCCTTCAGGTTCCAGCTAAAACCCCACCTTCTACAGAAAGACTTTCCTGATTCCCCGTAATTCTACTGTCTTCCCTCTGTTACTACTTCCTTTTTATCTTGTATTTACTTTTTTCCTACATAGTTGTTCACATGCTATCTGCCCCAAAAGATTATGAGCTCCTCGAGGGAGGGCTATCTTTTGCCTTTCTTTGTATCCCCAGAGCTTAATACAGTGTGTGGAACATGGTAGGTGCTATTATATATATATAGTAAAAAAAGTGCTTATTAACTCACTGATATATATACATTTTTAAAATAGAAAAAAAATTTAAATTTTAAAATTTAAAACCCAGAAAATTGCATTTCTGTTTCTCCTGGTTATTTTATAGATACGATTATTTTATACTTTGATTTATAAAAACAATGAATAAAGTCTCAGTGCACATCTACAAGACTTTTCATAAAATTATCAAATACTATAGTCATTTGTCACATTTTTCAAAAGATAATCTAAATTTTGCTCTTATACTAACACAAATATACAAACAAACTTTGCATCATTATCCATAATTAATAACTATCCTCCAATGTTAGGTTCCCTTGAAGGGTTCTAGATTCCCTAAATTCATCATAAAAATCTCTAGTAGCACATCACTTACTTTAGAAACATGCAGACTCCAGCTCCACAGTGAATAGCATGAAAAATGCAGGCTCCAACCTCCTCCCCATTCACAATTTCTTGGCAGCAAATATTCTGAGAGCACAACATAGTCCCACAGAAGAGACACAGAACTGGGTGTTTTCGCTCATCATCTGAAGACCTCGGGCACCTTAAAAGCAAAGAGAGAAGACCGAACTGAAGTTAAGGAAAAAAGATCACAGTGCACAAAAGAAGCAGTGTTTTTAGGCTTTGTTTTATAAAGCTATGTGTCTATTTTCCAGAAAGAAAGCTCATAAAATACCAGGCAATATCTAAGCACAAATACTCCTCTTCTTTCTTTTAATACTTGCCAAATAATTTTCATCAAAATATCTCTTGATAATTTCATAGGAAGAAAAACTTAAAATTGACAGCAGCCTCATGATTTAATTAGGTTTGGTAATAAAATTCAAACTGAGTAACATTTCAGTTGTAGAAAGAAAAAAATTTAATTGAACAAATGAGACAGAATTTGTGGATTCGGTTATTCTGCTTAACAGGCAAATTTCTCCTCCCAAGAGAAAACAACTGAAAAAAACGTTTTCAGCAAATATGTGACAAAAATTTGACTTCTGCAATCTACAATAAACTGATATCTATAATACCCATTCCTCAATAGTAAACTGGGTAAAGAGCAGAGCATACAATTTTCAAAGGAGGAAATACACATTGCTAGCTAACAACCTGAAAACCTGTTTAAACCCTCTACTAACAAGAGAAACATTTTAAAAACTTTTTTTATTAATTTATTTTGATTTATCAACAATCACTTCCATAAGCTTTTGAGTTTAAAAATTTTTCTCCCCCTTCTTCCCCCCCTCCGTCTCCAAGACGGCGTGCAATCTGATGTAGGTTATACATATATATTCCTATTAAACATATTTTCACATTAGTGATATTGTAAGGAAGAATCAGAACCAATAGGAGGAACAACCAGAAAGAGGAAATGAAACAAAACAGAAGAAAAAAAACAGCAAATAGTATGCTTTGATCCGCATTTAAACTCCATAGTTCTTCCTTTAGATGTGATAACATTTTCCATCGTGAGACCTTTGGAGATGTCTTAGATCCTTGCATTGCTGAAAATGGCTAAGTCTATCAATGTTAGTCATCGCAGAACGTGGCTGTTACTGTGTACACATTCTCCTGGTTCTGCTCACTTCACTCAGCATCAGTCCATACAAGTCTTTCCAGGTTTTTCTGAAGTCTGCCAGCTCATCATTTCTTATAGCACAATAGTATTCCATTACATTCATATACCACAACTTGTTCAGCCATTCCTCAACTGATGGGGCATTCCCTCAATTTCCAATTCGTTGCCACCACAAAAAGAGCTGCTATGAATATTTTTGTACATGTGGGTCCTTTTCCCATTTGTATGATCTCTTTGGGATACCCCTAGAAGTGCTATTGCTGGGTCAAAGGGTATGCACATTTTTATAGCCCTTTGGGCATAGTAACAAATTGCTCTCCAAAATGGTTGGATCATTTCACAACTCCACCGACAGTGTTCCAATTTTCCCACATCTTCTCCAACATTTATCATTTTCCTGTTTTGTCATGCTGGCCAATCTGATAGGTGTGATGTGGTACCTCAGAGTTGTTTTGATTTGCATTTCTCTAAATAGTGATTTTGTGCATTTTTTCATATGCCTATAGATGGCTTTAATTTCTTCATCTGAGAACTGCCTGTTCATATCCTTTGACCAGAGAAACACATATTAAAAACAACTTTAAGGCACCACTTTACCCCTATCAAACTGGCCATCGTGAAGGATGATAAAATTCAAAGTGGGGCTGAATGGGAAGTAGGCACATTGTTGATGGTAGGATTAGTTCTAAGTATCCTGAAAAATCAATCTGGCTATCCCAACCTCAATGTCATACTCAATGTTTCTACACTCTCACTCACCCCACATATCCAATCAATTGCCAAATCTCGTCACATCTTTTGAATATGTCACTTTTTCTACTCACAAAACCACGTTCTGAGTTTGGGCACTCTTCACCTCTCACCTGCACTCGTGAAGTGGCTTCATTAGTCTTTAGGTCCTAATTCTCCCTACACTCCAACCCATCTCCTACACAGCCGCCAAAAATGATTTTCCCAAAAAGCAGGTCAGACACTCCTCTCCAATTATATATGCCTTTGTTTTACATTTAAATTCTTCACAACCTAGCCCCATCCTGCCTTAATCAAATCAAATGAGAGAGTACATAGAAAGTGCTTTATAAATGAGAGCCATCATTACTATTGTTGAGAGTCAGTGTAGTGTAATGGACAGAGGGTCTGGCCTTGGAAGCCAGGAAGACCTGGGGTTCAAGGCCTGCTGCTGATATATACTAGTTGTATGACCCTGGGACTTTAGCAGACTTCATCTTCAATGAATCAGCCATATGATAGGGCAACCAGAGAAGCTAATACTAACTTACATTGCATCAACAGAACCATATTGAATATAGTGAGAGAGGGGTCAGGCCAGGAGTGGGGAGCTTGCAGCCTCAAGGCCACATGTGGCCTTCTACGTCCTTGGCTTGCGGCCCTCTGACTGAATCCAAGCTTCGCAGAACAAATTCCTGCAATAAAAGGATTTGTTCTGTAAAACCTGGACTCAGTCAAAAGGCTGCACCCAAGGACGTAGAAGGCCACGGGTTCCCCATCCCTGGGGTAGGCCATCTGCCTTCTTCCCTCAGCAGACCCCATCTGGTGTACTATGGATGGGTGTCACATTTTAGAAGGGACAATGGTAGGCTAGATTATGTCAAGAGGAGGGTGAGGACACTGGAAATTGTACATAGATGAATCAGCTGAAGAAATAAGAATTGTTTAATTAAAAGAACAAAAGACCTAAGGGGAAATTGATCACATCTTTGAATAATTCCTTCTTACCTGAATTGAGAAGCCTGGTTCAGGAGACAGCTATAGTCTTCTGGAAGTTCTATCAATTTATTTCTTTTTCTAGGATACCTAGGCATTTAATATAAGAGATCACATTTCATACAAGAATAAACTTATAACAGACTAGGGTGAGGGAAGGGAATTAAGATTGTCAAAAGGTAGCAAATGAATGTCTCCCTCTGCTTTAGATACTATACTGAATCCTGTTATATACTGAATAGAGGGCAAACTAAAAATGTTGGGATTCAAAGTCCTCCAACTTGTTCCATGTTTCTATTTAATTGTATATTTCACTGCTCCTGTGAGCCGATGAAACCCTGTTTGACTGATTTAGTCCTAGCCCTGGTGCATGTACACTAAGGCTTAACGGACTGGGAGACTGGACCCTGTCCCCTCTTCCCAGATGCTAGCTTGCTGAGGCACAGTTATGGTTAAGTTTCCTGGCTGCCTGCCATCAATTTCTCATTCCTTATTAAGCAATTCAGAGATTATACTCATTTTAGTAATCTACACCACAGCTGTCAAACACTTCAGTATAGCCAAATTAAAATACAATTGGGAAATATTTAATGAAATAAATAAAACTACAATAGAACACAGATAATATTATGTGGTTTTCTAAGTCAAAATGTGGTTGGCAGAGATCTTTATATATGATTTAGTAACCCCGTTTTTATTAAACACCACTGCTCTAAAATGTCCCACTGCCTCGTGTCACTGGTGAGAGGGCACTCTCCCATAAGTGCCACCATCACCTCTCTGTCTAAAATCTCTATATAAAAGTTTGTGCCCTGGGTGGCTCTGGGCTGCTGCACAATTGGAATGTGTGTAATGCTGCAAGTCCAGGCCACCAGCCCGGTGCTGCCCCTAGGAATGCAGGGAAGTGGGGGCCACATACCCATGGGGTTCTCTCTTGGCAAATGTTCTCCTATAACTGCTAGGCTCCCTTCTTTTTGCACTGAAACTCCCAAATGAGAACCTGCTGCAGTCAGATCTTCTCTTATCATCCTTAGGTCACACTATGCTCATTCCTGCCTCTGAACATACTCTTTCCCTTCTTAAATATATTCCCTGCTCCTTTCCACTTATCTAAATCCTGTGCATCCCTCAAAGTACTTTCTCAAAACCTGCTTCTATCATGAAGACTTCTCTATGCATGGAATGATTTTTTCTTTCTTTCTGGGAATTCCTATAATAAAGTCTGTTATATTCAATAGCACATTTTAATTTACGTTGTCTTTTTTTTTTAACGTATGGATATATTATCTCCCTAATTATTTGCTATAAGACTGTGTATTCTGCTTTACCTTAGCACCATCCTAGGGGCACAGTGTAAAGCTCTGGATGATAACTGTTAAATTGAGATGCAGAGCTATAGTGTTAGCTCCTGGTTAGGTCTCCAAATGGGGTGTTCTGGCTAGTTCTAGTTCTGTTCTAGTTCTTTTATTAGTTTAGCTTATTCTCTCCTTCCTTATAATTCTATGCCCTTCCCTTTGCTATATAAAAGAAAAGCTGACCTCAAGAACAAAGTGGCTGGCACTACAGAGAGAGTGAAGTTTTCTATTCTCTAGGAATATTTACATAAAGAGGTATAGGAAATGAGGAAAATGTGGCCAAAGCCTCATTTGTGACAGTCTGGGTTTTGATGGCCCCAGACCTTTACCCCCCATGTAAATGGTGATGGCATCTTAACATTGGGAGGTCATTTCTGTGACTGCCTTTAATTAGAGGGATGGTTCCCAAACCATATACACACACCACAAACAAATGCAAGGGGTCTGAGAATCCATTGGTACAGCAAACACTATCATTTTGTTGTTTTAAAGGAATGTGGACAAGAAAGGGAAGAGAGATATTGGGCAACAGCTTGAGGAGATGATACAGTCCAGTGAAGGTTTTTTAGGGTTGGTTGAGACTTGGGTATGTTTGAAGTCAACAGAGAAGCAACTAGTGGATAATGAAAGGCTGAAGATTTGGAGGGGAGGATAATTCAGGATGCAATGCACTGGAAAAGATGAGAAGAGGTGGGATCAAATGTACATATAGAGGGGATAGTCTTAGCAAGTAAAGGGAATACCTCTTTATAAGAGCCAGGGAAAAAGGAAGAAAGAATGAGAGATGAGATCAAGGAGTTGTGACACTGAAGAGAATGGGAGAAGAACTAATTTCAGGCAAAGAACCCACACATTTAAAAAAATGTGTGTACACACACACACACACACGCACATACGCACAATGGGGAAGAGAGGACAAAGGAGAAAGTAGGTAGGTATCTTACATGTACAGTGGCAGGTGTAATAACTACTTCAGAAAAGAAAGTTGAAAAAGTAGAACCCACCTGACCACAGTGTTTTTTCCTTTCAAAAGGCTGTGTAAGGCAGGATCAGAACACCACCTGGATAGCAGAACCGCCCCCCCAAAAAACAACAAGAAAAGGTAAGCATATCACAAGTGAAGACTGATGGCCAAGAGTATGGTTTTTTTCTATTTTTTGTATCCCATTTCTTTTAAGCTGACATCTTGTCCCTTATCTTATTTTCCTTTCATTCCTTTCTTCTATTATTGTTGTTGTTATGGCATAATTCTTGATTACAAAGGTTGAAATGGAATAAACAGAATATACTTAAATAAACATATAGGAAATTCGACAGTCCAAAATTCTAAGAATAATAAAATTCTGACTAAAATTAGCATAACCTATACACTCAACACAAATCATGATAGGTTTTAAAACTGATTAACTGATTGTGGGAGAGGGAAATATGAGATATAGGAGGAGAGAAAGAAGGGGAAAAGAAGAGAGGGGCAAGAATGGTGGAGAAAGGTGAGGCAAGGAGGGAAGAAGAAAAGGGAGAAAGAAGGAAGAAAGGGAAGGGAGAAAATGGAGAAGGGAATGAAAGGGAGAAGAAAGAAAAAAAGGAGAGGAGCAGGGAAAGGAGAGAGAAGAATGAGAGAGGTAAGAGAAATGGAGGTAAGTCATTTATAGATAAAAATCTACAGAATAAATAAAGTTGAGTGGATGGATGATTAAAAGAAGATAAGTTTTAAAATAAAAATTTTTTTGTAAAAAATGGATTACAGGAATTGAGAAGAAAAGTGCACTATCTTCCCTTTTGAGGAAGCAGTGCCAGCAGAGCAGACATTCTTTTGAGTGAAAGAGAAAGCAGTTAACCTCCTGGTTAGTATAAACCAATACTAAGCCCTGTTCATTCACTGCTGATCAGTCTAAGGCAGTCTTTTCAAATTTCTAAAGTTATGTGTTGTCCCAATACCAAGTTAAAATGACATTTTGCCTGCTTAGTACCTCTGGAGCAAGGGGCTTATAGTATCCCGATATTCCTGGAAAAGCAGGAACAGATTGGTGGGTAAGGATAAATAACTACAGAGTGCATTGAACTGACTTTCCTCACAATCTGTAAGAGAAGAAAAACACATTTAGTGAGCATATTATCCCATACTAGGGATTATATTATTAGAGTTTCTATTTTACATTTTTTATATCTTTATGAAATTGAAGTTTGCAAATAAGTCATCATCTGCACAGTAAAATCACATGAGAGAACAAAACAAAACGTGTATTCATAATTGCTTGGGAAAAAGCCACCTCCTTTATCAATAATCTTAAGAGTTACAAGGCATATATGTTGGCTAAAGTAGGGTTTTAGCCAAGAGGTAGATTCACTCCCTTGATTAACACACCAAGAGAAAAGAATGAAGCTTGTAGAAACATTAAGACCTAGAGGGTCTGTTGACTCCTGAACTCAAATCTCAAAGTGCAAAAACCCCTTGGATAGTTGGTAAGAGCTAATTCAGAAAACCCCAATAAAAACAGAGCGAGGGTGAAGTTAGAAATATCTCTTGGCTCTGGGTGGCACATTTACTGTAGAAAAAGCATTGGGTTTGTATTAAGAGGTTTGGTTTGATTCCTGACTTTGTTACTTTCAATCTGTGTGACCTTGGGGAAGTCAAAACCTCTCTGGGCCTCAGTTACCTCATCATAAAATGAAGAGACGGAACTAGATGCTAAGGTCCCTTCCAGCTTAAAAGCCTATGAACTATGATATGATCAGTCAAAATAATAACAGCCAAACTCTAAGTATTAAGCAACTGGTGCATAAGAATCTAAAACCAGATGATCCTTAGCTAACCATTAGGCAGCAGAGCAGGAATCTTTAGCCCAACTGAGTGTTATAAGTAAAACGGACCTTATTCTTGCTTTTGTATTAAGGAATACACATTCCCCAGGCCAGGCATGGAGGATGAGGGTATCAGGTCATCTCTTCTGTCGCTTCCACGTACCATTACAGCCAAACAAAGGAAGAAATGACGCCGGCTTTGTAGAAACATGCTTCACGTGTGCATTTTACATGCGAAAAGAACATTCTAAACACAGGCCAAGATGTGACTTAGAGAATATGAAGACAGCTTTTTTTATGATCTTATTTCTGAATGACCCACAGATGCAACATTAGCATGGTGCCAGGGGTAATCCATGCATACAGTGTGAGAACAGACTATGTTTCCATGGGCAAGTGGTTTTCCATTAAACTGTACTGCCTTTACCCTTGAGCTTGAAGGAGAAAAATGAATTTTCTCTGGGAATTCCCAAATTTCCAGGTCTCTGGCTTATTTTCAATACAGAATGGCAGTCGTATATACCTGACTGTAGTTCTTCAGGTGGTGGCACTTTCAGCAAATAATGGAAAAACAAAGCAGCACATCGAAGGTAAGAGGTAATGCCTTTCTTCACACAATCCCATAAATACCAACCAGGAACATCACAGCTGATGCATCTATAGGACAGAAATTCCAAAAGACTGCAGATCAAAATACTGAAAAGAATGAAATTCTAAGGTCTTAAATTTGCCCTTCATTTTCTTCAAAGAAACAAACAAAAAAAACACAGAATTTTTACCTATGTTTTATTTTATAGCTATTTAAGACCAAAAAAGGTTAAGATTTGTTTATTTAGAATTTGTTCTATAATTTTCTGGGGAAAAAACAATATTTTTAGCAACCTTCACTAGTTTCTGAAGCAATGAAATCACTCTTCCCCCTACTCTCTTCCTGTCCTTTATTTTTTCCATTATAAAAGGCTAACACTTAGGTTTAAAAAAAAAATTAAAGAAATTCAGAATTTCATGCTGTAACACCTTTGAACCTACTCTTGAGAGTATTACCCTTCAGTAATAAAGTGTAAATCATAAAACGCTAATATGAATAAGTATTACGATATCAATCAATATGCTCTTGGCTTCTTTGCTATTTGCCTGTTGAAAGAGAAAAAAGGAAGACTAGGGAAGCCAGGCAGCAGACATACAGAAACAAAGTAGAAGTACGATATTTTAAACTTCTGTAGTATCAACATACTTTACTTACATTTCTTAATTGGTCTTAACTACTCTAATATGAGCAAGTGTGTAGCTAAATGAAGTGCTATATGAGGGTCAGTTGGTTTATAGGACTGAAAAAACAATTTGTTGTGTTTCTAAAACATCGCTTTAAAAAAAGCTAGTCCAAAATCCATTTTATTTTCAGAGATGGCTTCAGCTACTTGTTCACGTGATCCACTGAGGCCTTACTTCATAGAAAAACCATCTTGTGTAATCACACACTTTGTATTTACTCACCAGTAGCAAAAGAAGTCACACATTAAAGGCCTTTATAATAATTCTCCAATGCTAACAGCTATATATGCATATGGTCACATTTTGTTCTTGGATAAGAAACCTTGCAGAATGATCTAAAAGTATTTCTTTTCATAATTGTAACAGTATTTGGTCATTTCTCTTTGTCTCATGACTTTTAACAGAGAATAATAAATCTGACAGTCGCATCCCAAATACTCCCTATTTCTCCTTTGGTTGCTGCCCTTCTTTCTCTATCCCTCCTTCTCCTGTGAAGTGCTTTACTTACCTATCTAAGCTAGTGCAAAATGCTACTGATTGTCTCTGGAGTCTAAGTGGACTTGAAAGGTTACAAAAATCAAATCTGTACTCTAGGAGCCTATAGCTGCTCTTAGAGAGATATCAGAGTTCCTTAGCATGCTAATACATTTCTTTGTTTTCAGTCTGACTTCTTCTCTTTTACCCACAATTACTGGACCTCAGCTGTACAGGTATGTCTTTCCCAAAAAATCCCATTTGTCTTGGTTCAAAAAACTCCCGAACAAACTCCCAAGTGCTACTTACCCACCAAAATACTGTGAAATTTCTGAGTAGAGAGAAGATGCAAAACGAGCCTCCTCACTATCTTCTTGTAACTCGGCAGGCAGGTTATCTGTGAAGAAAATAACCCATGAAATGATTTCACTCATTTACGACTCAGTTACAAATTGCAAACTCTTTGTTCCACAGGGCTGAGACGCTTTATATTCCCTTAAAAAGATGCAAGAAGGGACTTTTGACTCCAAATGGTTAATTCTGCAGATTAGTACTGTTAAGTCAACTTTGCTGGAACAAGACCTTGCTAAATATGGGTGTTTAATAAATGTTGGCCATTAACATAATAATCACATAGATTAGCAGTCATCCACCTACCCTGGGCGCCTAGGAATTTTAGCCAGGCTGGTAGGAATTCAACCTGCAAATGGGGAAGCAGATTGCTGCTCCTGCTGCTGTTGCCACCAAGCTCAATCTTAGAAGCACAGGGCTGGAAGGGACTTTGTGAGGTCATTTAGTTCATCCCCCTGTCTTCAGGCAAGGCCATACCTAAACCATCCCAGAAAGATGAGAATCTATCTTAATTTTAAAAACTTTCAGAGAAGGGGCTTCCAAAACCTTCCTTGTCAACCCATTCCAATAGTATGAAAGCTCTTCATATTCCTGAAAACTATCACTAAATTGCTTGGGCTGAAAAAATGCCATTTCCTTTAGCTTTTCCTCCTATATTTTATCCCATGCTTTTAGTCTTCTGTGTTCCTCTTCTGAATTCTCTCTGGGCCTTCCATATCTCTCCTTAATGGCTAATCCCATAAATGTCCACAATATTCAAAGAAGCACTGAGCATAAAAGATAAGGATAGTTCCAACATCTCATATTACTTATGCATCCTCAAGTTTTTCATTCAAAATTTACTTAGGCATCTAGGTAGTACAGTAAGACAGAGTGCTAGTTCTGAAGTGAGGAAAACCTGAGTTCAAATCCAGCCTCAGTTACTTACAGGCAATATGACCTTGGACAAATCACTTAATATGTCTGCCTCAGCTTCCTCAACTGTAAAAGGGATAATAACAGCACCTACCTCCCTGCGTTGCTGAGAGGATTAAATGAAATAATATTTATGAAGCACAGTGCCTGGCTCATAGTGGCCACTTAATAAATACTTGTTCCCTTCCCTTCCCCCTCCACATACAAGACACTGTATTAGGTGCTGTAAGGGATATAAGGATGAATAAAAACTTACAATATGGGAAGGAAGCTAAAACAAGGTATGCTTAACATAAGTGAATAAAAAAGGTATAAAGTACTATTAGAATTCACAGGAGAAATGAGGCAGCTAAGTGGTGCGGTGGATAGAGCACCAGCCCTGCAGTCAGGAGGATCTGAGTTCAAATCCGACCTCAGACCAAACACTTGACACTTACTAGCTGTGTGACCCTGGGCAAGTCACTTAATCCCAACTGCCTAAAAAAAAGAAAAAAAAAGAATTCACAGAAGAAATTCCTTTTCACTGGCAGGGCTGGGAGAGAAGAAAAGAACATCAAGAAAGAGATGGTAAGTGAAGTGGGCCTTGAAGAATTTTTACGGCAGAAATTAGAGGAAAGAGACTTCCAGGTGTTGGGAAAAAAATGTGAGCAAAGGAATGGAGGTAGGAACGTGTAAAGAATGTTCCGGCAATGGAGAGTTATCCAATTAGGCTCCAATATAAGATTCATGGAGTGCTAAGTGATATAGTTGGAATGATAGGTTGGGATTGGATCAATGAAGATCCTGAGAGACATGGTAAGGAACTTGGATTTCATTTGGTAGACAATGGGGAATGAATGAAGGTTTCTGACACAGGAAATGATAGATCTGTTTACACTGGACTGCAGTAGGGGTAGACTAAAGGCAGAACATGTAGTACATGTAGTACAGGTGAGGTGTAATGTGGGACTGAACTGGGATAGTGGCAACAGGAAGGGAAAGTCAACAGATGCAAGAAGTAGGGTAGGGATTAGAGAGGATGACTATGAGGTCAAGGATACATACACACATATGTATGTATGTATGTGTGTACATGTATATGTGTACATATATATACAGACATATACGTATACATGTCATTCTGCTTTTAAACTTTGATATATATCAGTGGTCCTCAAACTTTTTAGTCTTAGGACCCATTTATACGCCTAAAAATTACTAAGGGCCACCCCAAAGAACTTTTGTTTATGTGGGTTATATCTATCAATATTTATCATATTAGAATTTAAAATGGCATAGTCATTATTATTAAAATACTTTTGATCTTGTGGACTCCCTGAAAGGATCTAGGGGATATCCTTTAGACCACACTCTGAGAACTGCTAGTTTATAGACTCTTATGTCATATGTAACTATTGATATAATTTCTACTGGGCCTGGAAATGAAAAAAGTTGGATCCCAGGAAAAGACATAAAGCTACCTTAGCTAGGGTCTCTGACAACAGACTCAATGACGAAAGGTCAGAAAACATTAACAAAAGGTCCAGGACTGGCCAGAGTGCATGTGGTAAATGTCCGCTATTTTCTCAGGGTGTTCCATCTCCCAACATTTTAAGATATGTGTACTGAGCTAGCACCACATGAGAACTCATTACAGTCCTGGGGTTTAGTCTGTAGTCTGACTTCCTGTTGTCCAATCTTTAGACAGGGAAAACCCTATGATCTCCCCCTTCTATCATCACAGGATACTGGAAGGTAGAGGTACCAAACAACTGGTGGATGTAACTAGTAAATCTGCACCTGCTGTTTCCCTGATCCCAGTGACTGAAAGCTGTCTTAAGCCCTCTTCCCTAAATACCTTTCTTTGTATTAGTCTCCACCCAGCTCAATTCAACCATTTCCCGAGTCCAGTTTCCTGTTCTTGCCCCCCTTTTCCATTATGTCCTCTAGAATCCCCCACTCAATTGTTAAAAAAAACTTCCATTTTTTCCTCAATTTCTTCTTTTCATACTTTTCCCATATCTCTCACTCACAAAAGCCTGGATTTCTTAAAAAGACAGAGTATTATTTCTTATTGCATTTTGGCTCATGTTTCAAGAAATATTAGGTCAGGAAAAGGAACTGGCTTGTCCTCTTTCTCCATTGCCATGTCTTAGTCCTCTACCCGCCATCATGATGAGAAACCCTCTCTCCTCTGTGGTTCATCCCATCCATCTACAGCACCCTACTCAAAGCCCTATTTTGGTTCTTTGCCAGCTTTTGCTTCCTGTTTCTCAAGGAGTTCAGTACCTAGATCATAGCCTTCTACTAGAGTCTACACACTGCCTCCTACCTGAGGACTTCTAACATACGTGCTGATATTCTCTCAGGCACCCTACTTCATCAATCCCTTCGACTCAAATGAACTATAGCTCCATTTTACCTCGGACATTTATAGGGTGGTTACACCACAGCTCCTCCTGTCACTGACAACTGGGATATTTTCATGATTCCAAGCTCAGAAATCCCTTCTGATCACAGTCTCCTGTCCTTCCACCTATCCCTCTGCTGTACTCCTTCTAAGCCTATTTTCTGTCCTCACTGCAACCTCCAGTGTATCTCTTTCACCTTGTTCTCCTCGTCCATCCTTGTCCTGCCCTCACTGTTTCTTCTCTCCATTGTTTTGATCCCGTAGTTGATCACTTCCGTCATGCCCTGTCCTTTATTCATGACTCCTTTTGTCCCCTGCCATACTGCCATTCACATCCTGCTAACCCTCCATTTTGAAACACTCTCACCATATGCCTTCTCTGCTCATTCTCAAGTTGATGCTACTGGAAGATGTCACATTACTTTGTTAACTGAGTCCACTACAAATTTATGTTTATCTAATCTCAACTGGAAAACAAGGCAAAGCTTTTATTCCCCCTGGATTACCTTTAATATTCCTGGAAGGCTTTTCTACCTCCTCTCAGCAGATGTCCTATTTCACTGGAGAAACACAGGTAATCCATCTGTAGTGAATTCCTTCTCCCCTAATTGACACTTCAAAATCCCTCTTCAGCTTCATCTTTCTTCACTCCTCTCTTGGACAAAAAGTGTCCCTTCTCTTTGCCAAGGGCAATCTCTCTCTCTAGGTAACTCCTCCCAACTCTTATGAGCTGGTTTCATTAATCATTCAGTCTCTTCCTTATCTTCAATCTTTTCTTATCAATTGTCTTTTCCTTCACTAATTACAAATATTTCTGTTCCCAACCCACCATTAAAAAACTCTTACTTGACCCTGATATGTCCTCAAGCTATTATACTATAGCTTACCTCTCTTTCATCACGAAACTCCCAGAACCATCTATTCCTTCGGTCTCCACATTCTTATCACCCGCCTTCTTCTCAGTTCTTATGTCCTTAGCACTCTCTGCAATTATGAATATTGTTGCCCATGCCTCCATATTAGATAGCTTACCCTTCCTTGGCATACTCTTCCTTGCTCTCTCTTGGTTCTCCTCCAATCTGCTGCTACTTAGTGGTCTCCTTTATTCATCTCTTGCTCCCTTAAAGTTAGTTTTCTCCAGAGCTCTGTCCTAGGTATTTTTCTCTTCTCCTTTTAAGCTCACTATATTGGAAATCTTATCAACTACCATGGGTTCAAATATTAACTCTATTCCATTGACCCAAATTTATGTGTCTAACTCTAATTTTTCTCTTGAAAGACGGTTCCACACCTGCTCTGGTCATCTCCATCCAGATAACTCACAGGCATCTCAAATTCAACATGTTCTAAATGTTCTTGCTCCAAATTCTTTGATTTCTATTAAAGACATTACCATCTTTCTTGTCATCTAGATTCACAACCACAGAGTCTTCCTTTCCCATTCCCCTCCTATACCAACTGGCTGCCATGTCTTGACAATTCTACCTTATAAAATTGCTCACATGCATCCCCTTGTTTCCACTCGGCCACCTTCCTAATTGAAACCACAATCACCTCAAACTTGGACTTCTACAACTATTTGGACTTTCTGCTTCCAATCTCACTTCAACAAATCATCATCCACACAGCTAGCAAAACAGTCTTTCTAAGGCACAAGTCTGACCATGTTACTCCCCTATTCAAGAATTTTCAGGGGTTCCATGTGGGTTTCTATGATAAAATGTAAACTCTTTAGCTTGGCTATTAAAGCCCTTCATAATCTGGAACTAGCTGACCATTCCAGACTTACTTCATACTACCTCCCTTTACATTCTCAATTATAGCCAAACTGGCCTACCTGCCACTCCTGGAATTTGCCTCTGTACCTCTCCATGAGATGCCAAACCTAGAGCACATACCTTCCTCACCTCTGCCTCTTGGAATCCTTAGCTCTCCTCAAGGCTCAGCTCAGGTACAATCTCCTTTAGGAAGCCCTTCTTGATTCTCCTAGTGCTCTCACCCTCTTCAAATGGTTTTGTATTTACTTATCTCTTTCCACATTAGGTAGGCAAAGAGGTGCAGTTGATAAAGTGCCGGATACAGAGACAAGAAGAACTGAGTTCAAATGTACTTACTAGCTGTGTGACTCTGGGCAAGTCAATTAGCCTCTTATTCAAGTTCCTGATCTGTAAAATGTCCATAACAGTATTTACCTCCCAGAGTTGTTGAGAAGATCAAATGAGAATATTTGTAAAACATTTTGCAAACCTTAAAGCACTACATAAATGTTAAATATTATGACTATACTATGTTGTCTCTTCTAGTAGAATAGAAGTTTCTTCAGGTTGGGTACTATTGCTTTTGGTGGGTATATCTAGCACCCAGCTCAGTGCTTTCTACTTTGTTGGTACTTAATGGTTATTGGACTGAACTGAATGAATACTTTTTACTTTCTCAATTTTCATTATAGTATTCTTACTTGTGTACATGTTGCATTATTCAAAAGAATGTAAGCCGCTTTTTTTTAAAGCTCCTTGAAGGGAGAGATTATTTCTCATTTTCTGTCACTGTATCTCAAATGCCTTTTGTGTGTATAAGAGGTAACAAATAAATATTTACTGGACTAAATAGAACAGGTGTGGCATCCATCCAACTAAAGTCCAGTTCCAGTTCCATTCTCCCTTTCTGGAGCCAAGCTTAAGAATGCAAGGCTTCCAGAGCTCCACTAGTGAAGCACAGGCCACAGTCAAAGAAGTCATTAAGCCTGGGCCCCTTATTGTGTCCTCTAGTAGATCTGAGAAGCTCATCATCAAGGTCAGAGAAGTTCATTGTAGGAGATGATAATGATTTTTATTTTCTGAGGAGGACAGAGGGAGTGGTCTGGCCGGCTGTGAGTATGCATAAATCAACGTGGTTCTCTGAAGTATAGAATTATGTAGCATATAAATGTGCCCACTCAAATTATGTATTCAAAATAATCCTAATGTTGTTATTTATTTGTGAATACAGTGATTAAAAAGATTAACATATAGCAATCATCTTTTCCACATTGAAAACCTGTGAATACTCTGCTTTGTTTTCAAAGCCCCACTTACAAAACTGGTTGCTGTTTACAGTTCTGATTCTTGTCACAAAGGCCACCCACTACTTCCTCTTTTTGAAATGCTCACCCTATCCTCACCATCTGTAGGAAGGCTATCCATTCCTCTAGGCAGAATTTAAGCTCCATCTTCTTCATCTAACTTTCACAGAAGAATTCAGATCACACAGATCAGTTTCCTATAAGGATGTATAGTATTTTTTGTCTGTTAATCATTTGGTTCTTATCATATCCTGTCTATTTTTATCAAAGCTTTTACTAGGGCAGAACAACTGAAATTTTGGTCCAGGGCACCAATCCAGAGGTCACTGAAAGGTATTTGTTATGGTTCTGGTGGTTAGCTATTACATTATATTATGTTAGCTGTAAACTAAGACTATAAAAGCCTTGAAGAGGTATTACATCTCATACCTCTTTGTATACTTCAATGACCCTTACACTTGTATAAACTATGTGTTCAAAAAATGTATTATGTGATGATCCACAAGTGGTATGGAACTCCTAGATAACTTCCTTTGGTTAGTGGGAGAGATAAGACCCAGGGGAAGAAGGCTAAAGGAAGCTAAAGAAAAAAAAGATTTGGAGACAACTTAATTGCACAGAGTAGGTATTCAATAATGTTCTAATGAGATCTTTATCGAAAGACTGCTAGTCCATCTCCATTTGCTGCTAAAAAAGCTGTTCCCTAGCAAATCAGCCGTGTGACTAGTTTAAGGTTGTACTTTGGTGTGTCCTGACAGTATTCTTCTGCAGTAGTATATGGAAAATATGTCACTTCCCTTAGAGTTGTTGTGAGAAAAGTACCTTGTAAATCACAAAACAATAAAGAAACTGAGTTATTATCTAACTCACTACTCATCACGAATTCCCCATCGATTTCTTTCCACATCACTTAAACATTTCCTATTTTTTATGCTGCATGCCATTTGTTACTATTGTTTTTATATACTTTTTATGATCTGTGCTAACTATATTACTCTGCTGTTACACTTATAAATTTCATTCTCTTTGCTCCATCTTTATTACCCTCCCTTGAGCTCGGTGTCATCAGCAAACAATATAACAATTCACAAAGTTGAGGGAAGAACCCTTTTTCACCAAGGCTATTTGGCTCCAGCTAATTTCTTGATTTTCCTACCATTCACAGGATCCAGGCTCCTAGGAGACTCCTTTGCCATACATTTTCATAACCTACACACTAGGTGCCCTGGCTACTTTTTGCTTGCTACCTGTCAGTGGGAAAGAAAAAGCGGTAGTATCTTAAACTTTGAAGATGTAGACCTGTTTTGTTTTGTTTTTTTAAAGAAATGTTCTCTATTTTGTTTGTCCCATGGCCCCTTTTATTCTTGTTGGAGGAAATGTCTACTTTAGAGAATGCTAAAGAATCTTACCCAATCTCTTCACAATGAGTGGCCCTTTAAGGGGATGAAAGAACAAGGATATGAGGTCTGACTGGACGTGCCAAAGTCATGAGTGGGTCAACAGTAGAGATCAGATCTCTATTAGTGCTTCTTAAAAAAAGCCAACACACTCTTGTGGATCCTCCTTATCTGTCACTATTTCTCCTAAGGCATTTGTTCTCTCTCTCAAAAGCAGAAGCACAATAAAGGTGTCACTATAAGTATGCTGAGGGGCCTAATTAATGCAGCAAATTTTGGCAAGCCTGTTAAAGGACTAAAAATGTTAAATGTGTAGAGAAATGTATAAGGATGATATGGAGAAATTAAGGCTGTGGGATCTGGAATGTAAAAAAATTTAAGAACCCAGGAACTTTCTACATGTATTTACAGCAGCATCTGAGGAATGTGGACAGGTAGTTCAGTTGTTTAATCCTTTCACAGCCATGTTTACTTTTTCCTACACAATTAGAACAAATTCATTCTGAAGTAAATGGCTGATTCTTCACCAAAGGAAAATCAGTGAGACCTTGTAGAAATGTGAGGTGATTATTATCACAAGCAAAATTAATTTTCTATGCTATGAACACAGAAAAAAAAAGTGGGCGTAGGAGAAGGGGATGTTATTTATGGCCATCAAAGTGGAGAGAACTTTACCTGTGTCTATGCTGAGAAGTATCTGGAATATATGAGCCATTGTGATCAAATGGAAGAGATACAGGTGGTTGTAGGAAGAGCTAAGTGATGAAGGCTGCAAGGCAACAGCATCATCCCAATACAAAGATGGGAAAGCTGAAATGGCACCCACCTGCGAAAGAAAAAAATGAATACCAACATCTGTAAAATAAACAGACCAACAAAATCAGTTTCACAGCTAAATGAAAATGGCCCAGATGGTCACTGTTTAAATTTCCACTAACTTTTACTACCACTTATACAGAAAAATACCAAGTGGGTATAACAGGTTAAGTTGTTCTTGTCACCAAGTTGGGAGCAGCTATGCAAGAGGTGTCACCCCCATTTCACCATCAGGACAACTCTCTAAAGTGATAGGTATGCCAGCAATGAAGAGTACTAGATTGGGCAGTAAGCAGGGACAGTCAGTACCCCAGATTCCTTACCTAATTCAATTTCACTTAGCACCTAATATATATGAAAAACTGGGCTAACTTTTGCATTGATATAAAAATGATTAAGACACTCATTTTCTTAAGGAGTTTAAAATCTAATAGAGAGTTAGACAAGTACATGTGGTAGAATACGCCAATTGAGTATACATCAAAGGATCACTTAAGTAAAATTTAGAGCTGGAAGGGATCTTGGAGGCCATCTAGTCAAACCTCCTCACTTTTAAGGAAGAAGAAAATGAGATGACAGATTAAATGATTTGCCCAAAATCATATAGATAAGTGGCAGAAGCAGAATTTGAATCTTTGCTCTCTTGGCTGTGCTTCTGACACTGGACTTCTACATCCTTCAGCTGCCTTCTAACCCTGAACTTCTCTCAGGACCTGTGACTTTCTCACCCTGGAATATCCCTCCACCCTTGAGTCCCTCTTGGAAGCTCCATGGTGAGGAAGGACCCCAGCCATCCATTCTTCAATTCCTGTCCCCGAGTTGGTTCTGACTCTCTAGACTTTGTCACTTTCTCTCTCCCTCTCTTGCTTTCCGGTTTGCTTTTGTGTTGTCCTCTTCTATTCTAAGGTAAGCTCCTTCAGGACAGGGAGCTTTTTGCTTTCTTTTTGCCCGGAACACGTTAAGTGCTTAATACATTCTTACTGAATAATGGACTCTGGGTCCTTTAACTCGGAATCCACTGCTCTTTCCTCTGTACCACATAAGAAAGAAAAGCTTAAAAAGTACTGTATGAGTTCAGAAGAAAAAGAACTCACAACTGACTAGGTAAGGGAAGGTGTGTAAGGAAACAAGGAAAGTATGAAATGGGCAAAATTTTGACAAGCAAAGGTAGTGGGATAAGACAAAGAAGAGGTAATGGAAATAACAGTAGGATAAAAGGACAAAGGGGGAAAAATACAATTGCATGTTCGGGCAATAGCAAATATATTCTAATACAGTATATGAAGACAGATAATGGGAGGAAAGGCTAGACGTGCTTTTGGCAATCACTTTGGCAGCAACTAAGTGGCCTAGTGCTAGATTTGGAGTGAGAAGGATGTGAGTTTGAATCCTGCTTCAGACACCAGCAGTATGAACTTGGGCAAGTCACTTAGCCTTAACTTAATCTCCCTCAGTTTCCTCATTTGTAAAATGGGGATAACAACACCACCTACCCACTGGTTTGCTGTGAGGATCAAATGAGATAATATATCTAATAAGCTCTGTAAACCTTAAAGCGCTATATAAGTGTTAGCTATTGTTGTTATTGGAAGATCATGGTAAGTTCTTAAAAGTTTTTGAGCAAAGGAGTAACAAAACAAACTATGGCTTAGGAAGATAAATCTGGCATTAGTGTGCAGGATGGACTAGAAATAAGAGACCAAGATGGGAAAAACAGTTAGGAGACTGTTAAAATAGTCTAGGAAAAGAGGATGTTTGTAAGAGACTAGAGCTTTAAGGTTTACAAAGCACTTTTCTCATAATATCTCATTTGAGATTCATAACAACCCTGTAAGTAGGCACTATAGGTATTATTACCCCCATTTTGCAGATGAAGAAACTGAGGCTCAGAGAAGCATTGTGGCATACCCATGGACACAGAGCTAGCATTAGAGGTGGGATTCAAACAGAAACTGCTCTAGAACCCGAGTCTAGTATTCTTTTCAGTATACCACACTGAAATGAGAGCCTCAATTAGGGTGCTGTCAGTGGGAATAGGAAACTGTTTTAGAGTTTAGAGAAAGCTTAGTTTTCTGCAGCAGTCATAGAAGCACAGGGATCCTTAGATGGAAGAGCCTGTGAGGAGCACACAGTAGGGTGGCATCAGTCCTTGTTGGCAGGCTACTTGTATACAGAACCTGATCCTTTTCCCCTTAGGGCTCCTGCCCTCCTGGATAGCTCAACCTGTCATCCAATGCTTGCCCTGCAGGCAAGCAAAAATGAACAAAATGACATGGTTTAGGGCCAAATTGCATAAAGGCTAGAAAATGCTTACTTTGTAGAGATGATTTACAAGTCATCGAATAAGACCAGACAGATTGTGAAACCAACTTAGGTGCTTCAGTCAAATTAAATGACAGCATCCAAAGGAATCTTCCAACTGCTTACAAACAAAACATATAGAACTAGCCAAGTCATGAGAACTTAATTTTGTATCTCCCCTACTGCCTACCATAGTGAAATATGCTAGAACGAATTAGGTCCTTAACACATTTACTGAAAGTTGAATGAACGAATAAGATATTTAACTGAGCCAAAGAAAAAGAACTCGCCCTACTCAACAAAGGATGTAAATTTAAATGAAAGATCTTTTAAAAATACACTAAAGAGACGTTTTAAATTTGCACTGCTTTATTACTCAAAAAACCTGAATGGATATGTAATCTTATTAATGGGATTAGTCCCTCCAGTGTTGCAAGCAGCAACTCATCCATGCTTGTTTGTCCTGTGTGCCTCTTATTCTGGTTCTCCTTTAAGTGTGCTGCATGAAGTCCTACTTGGCAGGTGGGGAAAGTCTTCTTGGATTCTCCTGACAACACCAGGGTACCAATGGTGCACCTGGGCTATCCATCAATTACCCCTTGTTCTCACAATGTTACCAACCCATTTTCTTTTCTGATCATTTGTGTCTCAGATGACATGCTTTACATGACCTCTTTTTTATGATTCTTGTTTGTGATGTGTTACAACCTCCTCACAACCACCACTCTCAGCGGAAGGAGCTGCTGTTCTCTGGGTGATCCTCAATTTCAGTTCTTTGAAACCCGTAGTTATTCTGTTTTTTTCAGTCACATAACCTTACCAGGAGAATATGAGAATTAAAGCAATGGACCTTCACTTTAGGAGAAATCTGGTGTCATTAAAAGAACTTTTGAATTTCCTAAAGCAATCTAGCACACTCTCCTGTTTGGTTCTAAGCCCAAATGATTGTCCATTTGCAGTGTATGTATACGATATGTATATATTGATGGATAAATATAACTGCATATTATTGTTTTTAGTAAATCGAACTCTTTTAGTTGACTGTGTGTTTCATTTAGGAGTTTCGACATTGTCCCAATATCCGATGCATTTAACACAATGACATTTACGGACAAGTGCATCCAGAGAACTTTACCATCTACAGAGAATCATTCTTTGATTTGGGTCTGGATCACCTTTGTGACAGGGCAAACACTCGGCAGGTACATGTCTCTCTACTTTGTTCTCTGTTTGATATTAACAATTAGGGAGTTACCAAACAAGATGATTTCTGTTGTTATATCTTTCAGGGTATTTCATTTTGACAGAGATGGGAAACATCTTATTGGAGAATAGCTTTTAAGGTGGTATTTTGTTCTACCGAATCAAATGATTTTTAAAAGTAACAAACAATAAGCACAGCAGAATCTAGTATTCTCTACCATCTTTCAGTCAACTGTATGATGGTAATGATGTAGCTTACCATGAAAATGAAAAGATTATGTGGGTAATTATTTTTATAAAAACTTTATCTAGATAGAAAAACAGGCATATGGGTTGAAAGTTACTGATGTTCTCTTGATTACCATTTTTGTTAGTAATGAGATCCAAGATTTTTCTCACACCTCTGGTATCTTCCTTTCTTTCAGATACCTTGAGGATTGACTGCTGCTTTAGCTATCTCTGTTTCTTCACTGTCATTTCTATTTCCCTCTATAAGTATATTCTGAATGTGATGATGGATTCCAAACAAATGTACTGACTCCTCTGTCCTTGAAGGTGGAAAGTTTGTTGTAAAAATCTCTGGAGAGCTTTTCTTTCTTTACTTTGTTGTTTTCCTTCCATTTTTATTATGAAAACCATTAGGATCACTTTTTTTCAGTTGGATATCTTGCCAAGCTTTCCCTAAATTGTTTTTTCCCTCCACCACTGCACACTGTTTTATGAGGTAATACTGTTCATAATATTCCACTAACGCATAAAATTTTACATGTAAGTTCATGTTTTTTACCAGTGTTGCTCTTGGCTACTATATCTATGTACCTGGTAAATAGACCACTGTGTGCTAAGATGGTTTTTTGGCTCTCTTGGTCTTCACATTATAGCAACTGATTTGTACCTATTTACATATGAAATGATCATAATATGTGTTGATGGCCTTTCCTCTATCCATTTGGTAATTTTATGTCAATTACTAGTGTAAATAGAATAGCCTAGAGTTGTTTCAATTACATATCAAATTACCCTCATTCTCTCTTTTAACTTCATGTGAATTTTGATCTTCTATGTAAGAAGCCGGTGGTCTACCTATACACATATAAGTGATTCAAGGATGATTCTGATATCATTAATAAATTATTTTTTTCACAATCAGAGTACCAGCATCTAAGCCAGCATTTACAGACAGCCTAAAAACTTTAGGATTCTTATCATCTTCTGTCAACATCACTACAGAAATGGGGGGTAGAGGAGATTGTGCACATGACTGAGGGATATTTTGTATTTTTCTTTTTTTCACGGGTTGCTATGGCCAAAGAATTCATCACCAAATAGCCAGTCTTATGACAAGCCTCTCCATGTTAGTCAGGCTACATCTTCTGAAAGCAAACATGGTCTGTTGCTAGAATAATTTATGAAGGCTTTCTAGTGCAAAAGAAACTGTGAGAGCTTTTACTTGAACGGCACAATCTTCAAGAGCCCCTTGTCACTTTCACATATTGGTGAAGCACTGGAGTAGTATAAAGCAGTGGTAGTCCTTACTTACCAATACATGAAACAGATCTACAGAAAGAAGGGATGGTGTATCTTCAGATTTCAGGTTAGGAAGAATAACTAAAACAACAACAATACATTTAATTTAGTCAGCAATTTAGCATTTTAATAATTCAAGGAACTGTGATGTAATCATTGACACAGAACACAATCCCTATAGGAGATCTCAATGACTGCACATGATAGAAAACATTCATCACCTGGTGGTCAACAGTCTAGTTAAGGGCCCCTACTGACATAGTCAAGTTTGTCTTCAGACAATAACTAGACAGTCCATTACCAGACCTTATACTGAAATCTTTTCAGATTTCTAAAGTTTCTCAACTACTGACATATCCTTCAAGACCCCAGAGTCACTTCCACACCAAGAGGAGACATCAAAGTAAAATTCTAGTAAAAGAAAAATACAGTTTAATAAAGAAAAAAAAAGATGCTATTCAAATACGTAAGTACAGGATTCACTTATCATTCAAACCTTTTAACCACTATGTCTAATCTTGGAAGCTACAACTAAAGAATTTCTGAATTTATACTAGGTTTAGAAGAAAGATACTGAGGTGATTTTAGGGTTGAAAGATGAAACCTAAGAATAAAAGTTAAAGGAACCAAGATAATTGAGTTGGAAGGGAACAGGGAATTTGTTGACTAGCTAGATGAATGAATGGATGAATAAAAACAAATGGATTTAAAACAATGTTTCCTAACCTCTATGACACACTTTTAAGTTTTAAAATAGTTTACAACAGACCAAATAAGGATGAAAGGAAGTAATATGGGGGGGGGGAACCCTCCCCAGGTAGTGGCCTATGTGCCTGTTGGCAGAAATAAAGAGGTTATTCTAGTCTCAACATTAGCTGTCTTTAAACTAACTTTTCTCTGAGGATTATTAGCAAATTAATGATGAAAAAGAATGATACAAGATGATAAAATTACAAAATGAAAGTGAGGTAGGACTCCCTCTTCTTCTCTTAACCTGCAAAACAAAAACAATACACTAAAAAGAGAAAAAAAAGTCTGAAAACTATTCAAATTTTTTTTAAATGGCCAAAGCATAGTTTTGATACAAAAAAGCAATACTATGGAACAACTAAATTAGCTAATGTATCAGAAACCACAGAGAAGGGAAAAGAAACTATACCAGATATCCTGACAGACAACCTAAAATGATAAATAAGCAGAATACTTATAGAAATTAAGTAAGACCTAGCACTGATAGAAAAAAAAATCTTAAGATCAAATAAAAGAAGAACTTGGATAAAAGTTAAAAAGTCACAGGAAGAAACCAAACCAGAACTAAAAGATGCTAAAAAAAAAAAAAGAAGAAATCAATAATTAAGAAAATCACTGTTATGGTCATGCAATAGAACAGATCAGAAAAATCTCTTTACTCCCCTCCCCCAAATCAATAGAAATAACCAATAATAATTTTACTTTTACAAAACAGAATTATATACAATACAGAAACAGCTGGAAATATAGGCTCTGAAAATCCTGAAATTATGCAAATCATTGAAAAGTACATAGAGCTAAATAGCAGACCTGGATGCCATAAGAGTCAAAAGATTACTAGAACATAAGGGAAAAAACGCAAGCTGCCAAGAAAGGAATGAAATCCTTTAACAAGGAACAATAATCAGGTTATAATCATAAGACCACATAGCTGGAAGCAGGGGTGTGCTAGAGACTGCCAGAGCCAGCTTAACTTAGTTTGTGAGAGCTGATTGTTCAAGTTTCAGCGTGAGCATTTATCCCTTGGAAATTAACAAATGCTACAAGTCAGGACTTGATTTATTGTTTTGTTGATTTCTAGTCTTAAGAAAGTGATGGAGGGCAGCTAGGTGGCACAGTGGATAGAGCACCGGTCCTGAAGTCAGGAGAACCTCAGTTCAAATCCGGCCTCAGACCAAACACTTGACACTTACTAGCTGTGTGACCCTGGGCAAGTCACTTAACCCCAACTGCCAAAAAAAAAAAAAAAGAAAAGAAAGAAAGTGATGGAGAAAATGTTAAAAATGGAAATTAAATCTTAAAATATGTCACATGCATATTTCCCTCCCAGAAAGCTAGTTATTAAACTAGACATCTCCGTGGGAAGAGATTGTAAAAGGTCATCCAATCCAACCCCCTCATTATATAGCTGAGGAAACTGAAAGCTTCAAATGATTCTGCCAAAGTCACAGCGATAGTAAGTGGCACAGGAAGAATCTGAACCTGATTCTTCTGATTCTAAACTCTGTACTTCAGAATCACAAGAGACAATCAGAAACTGGAACATAACATTTATAGAATTAAGAAGTAGGGCTGTGAATGCAAAATTATATACTCAGTCTGTTCTATGAATATAGAGGATTGATATAAAAGTAAAAAAAAGGCTTTGAAAAATTTACAGAGACAGAGATCCACTTCAATAAAGTCTCTGAACAAATATCCCAGAGATAAATATTTACAAGGCACATTTCTCAAATCAAATGGCCTATTTCCAATTTCCCATGGCTATCTCCTCCTTCAGTTCATTCCTTTCTTCTCCTTTGTTTGAGCCCAATGTTATCTACCTCTCACAGGAACCAGAGAATGATAATTAGTTTGCAAATAGTGGTTTCATTTGTTTCTGATAAGGAAAAATGTTTTGGTATTAAGAATGGGTTGGTGGAAAGAAAATCAAAGACAGAAAAAAAGAGATCACATAAATACTAAATATTCATAGCAGGCCTTTTTGTGGTGTTGAATTGTACACAAAATAAATGTCAACTGACAGATTAGAGAATGGCTAAATAAATCATGTAACATGAACATAATGAAATATCACTGTGGTAATAAATGATGAACAAGATGAATTCAGAAAGGCATGCTGAGATGTATATAAACAGATGAAGAGTGGAAGTATCAAAGCAATGCAACCTGAGGGCAGCAATCACAAAGCAGATTAAACTGGCAAATATTTAACACAATAAATAAAAATACAATAGAACACAGATAATGTTAACACATAGTTTTCTAAGTCAATACAGCAGCCCACTGGGATCCTTATGTATCTTTAGTGGCTTCCCTTTCTATTTGAGCTTGATACCACTGATGAAGAGGAAGTAAGCAGAACCATGAAAACTGTATATACAATAACTGTAAAAAGGTAAATAGAAAGAACATTACACAAAACCAAACACTGTGTTGTTATAATAATCAAACTTGGCCCAGAGAAGAAATGAGAAAATTAACTTCCCTCTGTTCTTTGCAGAAGCGGGAGATTCTATATGTAAAACACTACAAATATGTACAATAAGGACTTCACTGACGCAGTTTAGTTTTGCTCCTTTTTTTCTGTTTTTCTTTTTTTAAAAAGAATATATTGCTGGATAGAGAAGAGCAGAAGAATCTATTTAGAAATGAAGAATATAAAGATATAAATAAAAATTTTATTAACTGAAGGGGTGGACAGAAGTTGCTAATAAAACATATTGCATGTATATAGGTGGTGTAAATTTTATTAGCTGGAAGGGATCAGATGTTACACATTAAAGCATTATTTCTGGCACTCAAGTTCTTACATATCTATCTTCTTTTCCCCTGCTTATATATTTTAAATTCTTTTAATCAGGAATTTTCTTAAATATTTTATTTTTATTGATTTTTTTAATATTACCTTGATTTCAAAACAAATCATTCCCTTGTCTAGTGAACCAATCCTTCTAACAAGAAATAAAGGAGAAAGAGAAGGGAAAAAAAGCAGTTCAGCAGAGCTAATCAACATATCAAAAGAATCTAATAGCACTGAGGCTTTATCTATAGTTTTGTAAACTCTTAGAATGAGAAGCCAATTTGGGCATGCAAAGATCTATTTTTTCTTTAACTTTAGAATTTATATTTACCTTTTTTTTTTTTTAAATGAGGAGAATGGCTCAGGAGATTTATTTTATTACTGTGATAGTTTCTGGCATGGCTAAGGCTTCTCAGATTCTCTCTGACCTTAAAGTTATTTGTCTTTTTCTATTCACACTTCATTCTTGGTATTAAATTAAAATGATATGGTTCAGTTGTTTATTATTATGGTACAGAACACATTTTAGAGCAACCGTTACAACTAGTATATCTATTAGTAAATAATATACTGTAAATATTTCAAGTCACCTACTTTATTCATATATCAAAGCAATAGGTATTTGAAGCCCATTTTTTAAAAAAATGTATATCTTTGTGTTGTTTCTATGTTGTGCTGTTCAGTGTCTCTACACACAATTGCATCAACATAAAAATAATTTTCTACCACCTGAAACACGGATCTTCCAGATATTCATTCAATTTCATTGCTGGTACTTCCTTCATTTTTGTCTTTTCATCATCCTAGGACTGGCTTGATTCATTATCAGCAGAAATTCAACTGCTTCTATGTGAGTCCTAGCTAGTCTGAAACCACTTAACTGACAGATTCAATTTCAGTAGGTAGGCTTCTCTTCACAATAGTCCTTTTCTGCTACATTTAGGTCACTGTCAAATCAGGACACTTAGCTAAAAATATTGGTACTCTACTAGCCTATAAGCTATCATTTAATCATGTTTTCAAAGAACAATACACTATACTTTTATTTATTTCTACTCTCCATTTAATACACTGTGTAGTCAATCCTGCTTGATGATCACAATTCTAGCAGTCAAGAAACTGAATGGTTAACAATTAGTTGGGCTTGATGATTGCTAAATTTATTATTTCATAATAGTGCAAAGTAACATTAGCTAAACTTTTCCTTAAGATATTGCCTCAGACAAAGGCCAATCCAATCACAAGTTAATGAAATCTAACTTTAATGTGTCCACACTTTTGCTTGGCAATTCTTTTATTTACCTTTTGTTGGCTCCTTAGCACATTTCTTATTACAATGGCTATTCCAAAACCACTCCATTTTTGTTAAATCTTAAATCCTACCTTCTTCCACTGAATTGCAACCAATGATCTTATGACCTACACTTTTTATTTAGCCTCCTCTCCACCTGAAAAACTTTTATATTTTTGAGGCAGCTAGTGGCACAGTAGATAGACTGCTAGGCTTGGATTAGGGAAACATGAGTTC